GGTTAGTTCACTGAAAGTAAATATTCTCATATTTACTTTTCTTTAAATACTTTTTTAATTGTTCACAGACCTTTATTTATATGTGGTGCTGAGAATAAAACCCAGGGCTTCACACATGCTAGGCAAGCACTCTACCATTGAGCCACAACCCCAGCCCCTCATATTTACTTGTAATAACTAAATTTACCATTTGTATGTAATTTAGACTGAATCCATATACATAGATATAAGTAACAAATATACATGTCTACATATACATATATGAAATTTATATTTGTAAAATTTTTTCCTTGTAGGATCTTTCAGAAATTTTTTAATATTTATTTTTTAGTTGTAGTTGGACACAATACCTTTAATTAATTTACTTATTTTTATGTGGTGCTGAGGATAGAACCCAGGGCCTCACATGTGCTTGGCGAGCGCTCTACCACTGAGCCACAATCCCAGCCCCTTTCAGAAATTTTTGTTCAAGTTTTATTTTCTTAGCTATGTAAGACATAGAAATATCTACCCTTTCAGTAAGAGACATTACACTTTAAAATACATAGATTTGATAATAAATGAGGTTGGTTTTGCAGCCTCATTCTTTATCAAGTAACTGGTGATATGCCACGTTCCAGATACTGTGTTGATATTGGGTATATTGGATATAAATACATGGTTCCCACCTGGAATAGCTAGGTTGGAGGTAAGGGAGAAGAGAATGATTATAGTTTAACTATTGCAGGAAGAAAACTCAGGCACAGCTAGAATGTTGGTGAATGAGGAAGGCCTTTCTCAGCCAACATTTGAGGAATGGGGAGTGGGCTGCCTAAGAACAGAAGAATGAGGTGACTTTGATGTGGAGTAGAAACTAAAGGACAGCCATTGTGGCTGGATCATAGCGGGCTGGAGGGCCAGGCACCTCTAGAGTGTCAGGGCCTGGACATATCCCTGAAGGCCATGGTAATTATGAGTTTAGATTTTATTTTACTTCAAGTGCCTTGAGAAGCTGTTAAAAGCATTTTCAGCAGTGTGTATGGATGGGACTGGATGAATGTTTTCTGGAGATTAGACACAGAGGTGAGCAGGAGCAGGACAGAGAACTAGTCAGAGGTGACTGAAGGAATTCAGGAGAGAAATGAATAGTGGCTCATGGAGGGACAGGGGACAGATAAAGATTTTATTTTGGAAATAGAATCAGAAGAACTTTCCCTTGTGTATGAGATAAGAAGGTTTAGGGGAAGGAAAATATCAGGGGTGATGGGCTTGAAGAAGCAGCCTTTCCCCTTGTTGAGGTGGGGAAGATGAGGGAGGGAGGGGATGGCTGAGGGGAGAAATCAGGAGACACCTACATGGCCTCGGCGGGGAGTGGTAAGTGGGCGAAGGGATGCTAACTGGGAAGCTCAGAACAGAGATTTGAACTTGAGGTGTGAGTGTGGAAACCTCTGACATACAGGAAGGATCTAAAACCCTGGGAAAGTGTGTGGCATGCTGGGAAGAAGGTGTGATAAGGTGTGATGAGAGAGCAGAGGTCCCAGAATGGAATACTCTGGAATTTGGCCACACAGAGGCCAGACAGAAGGAGGCTGCAGGGAGAATGGTGCTATCTGAATCCCCAAGACAGGGAAGTGTGTTGACAAGGAGAGTTCATTGCTTGGGTCAGAGCTGCCCGGAGGTCAGATGGTAGAACAGGGAAGAGCGCATGGTCCGCTGCCTTGACCACAAGAGCCACCTCAATGAAGTGGGTGGGGTAGGAGCCAGAATAGAGGAAGTGAGGAAGACAAGTAGGGTCAGCAACTTTTTTTTTTTTTTTTTTAACCCTTTTAGGTTGAGTCAGGAGTGAGAAGAAGAGGAACTTGGTAGCAGCTGAGGGGGGTGTGAGATCAAGGGAGAGTGAGAACCACAGGGGCATTAATGCCGTTCATAGAATGCATCACATATTGGGGTATGGGCCAGTACACTAAGGTTCACACAAGGCAAAAGCTGACTTCTGCTTCATGTGACAACTCAAAACAAGTGGCGTGACTCTGACATTCTCCTGAACATGGCACATCCATGGCTGTGTCTAAGGAGACCATGACATTTGTCATCATTTTCTAGTCAATGACAATCTGAGTCCCCCGGAGCAAGTGACTTTGTCTCTATGAAGACGAATATTGAATAAGTTTTTTTTTTTCCTGTTGTTTCATTGTCCAGACTTAATCACATGATCACTGCTTATCACCGGCAGGCGGAGGAATTCTAGCTAAAACAAAATGCTTACTTACTAAAGGAAGTTACTAAAGGCCACTCCATTTCTGCCTCAGGCGATGAAGTCCTTGGGGTAGAGAGGGGATCATCGATGTTCATAGCAGCACAATTCACAATAGCAAGACTGTGGAACCAACCTAGATGCCCTTCAATAGATGAATGGATAAAAAAAATGTGGCATTTATACACAATGGAGTATTACTCTGCATTAAAAAATGACAAAATCATAGAATTTACAGGGAAATGGATGGCATTAGAGCAGATTATGCTAAGTGAAGCTAGCCAATCCCTAAAAAACAAATGCCAAATGTCTTCTTTGATATAAGGAGAGTAACTAAGAACAGAGTAGGGTCGAAGAGCATGAGAAGAAGATTAACATTAAACAGGGATGAGAGGTGGGAGGGAAAGGGAGAGAGAAGGGAAATTGCATGGAAATGGAAGGAGACCCTCACAGTTATACAAAAGTACATACAAGAGGAAGTGAGGGGAAAGGGAAAAATAATACAAGGGGGACAAATGAATGTCAGTAGAGGGGGCAGAGAGAGAAGAGGGGAGGGGAGGGGAGGGGAGGGGGGATAGTAGAGGATAGGAAAGGCAGCAGAATACAACAGACACTAGTATGGCAATATGTAAATCAATGGATGTGTAACTGATGTGATTCTGCAATCTGTACATGGGGTAAAAATGGGAGCTCATAACCCACTTGAATCAAAGTGTGAAATATGATATATCAAGAACTATGTAATGTTTTGAACAGCCAACAATAAAAAAATTAAAAAAAAAAAAAGAGAGGGGATGGGTTATAACATTTTAATCTCTGCTTCTAAACCACAGGCAACACTTGGCTTATATTTGGTACTCAGTAATTGTTGGGTGAGTTCAGTTGACTATTAAGTCTGATCCTCCCCCTTCCCAAGATGGGAATTCAGTTGTAGGCTCTGAATTCCTCCAGATGAATACCTTGTCTCCCTCAGCTGTTATCTCTCTGTACTCATCCCACTTTCCAGGATAAGAGGACCAAAAAAAAAAAAAAAAAAAAAAAAATATAAATGTTTACCTTCAAGTTTTGCTCTAAAATCTAAAATGTGATATAGGAAGAAAAAGAAGAGACTATGTTAGTTTTGCTTGGATCATTTTCTTGCTCTGCCTGTGGACTTGGTATTTACATATGCTTTGGGCAGCTCAGCACATGCCAAGTTGACATGTCTTTTATTCAACAGAAGGTGTAGCTGGGAATTGGGAAAAGGAATAATTAAAAAAAAAGTGCAGATGTAGCATTGAGTGGTTTTTTTTGCAATGTTCTTCAAATTTGTAAACATATTCCAATGTGTTGTGAAGGTAGGGCTTTACTACAGTTACTAGTTTATTTTCAATAATTCTATATTATGCCAGTGAATATATCATTTACTGAAGGTATTACACTAGCCCTTTGCTCAGGATATTTTTACCATAAAATTAGAACTAGGAAGGGAAATTATTACACAACCTGAGATATATATTTTTGAGGTATTTACCTCACATTTGTAAGTTAAGAAACAAAATGTCATATATACTTGGCATAGCAGCTTTCTTGCTGCTTAGAGTAAAAATCTTCCTTAAAACACAGTAGTGTTTCTATTAGGAGAAAAAAATAACAATAGAAAATCACTTCTTCAGGTGTGAATGAGTTCATTTGTCTCATTTGGCACCTGTGGAAACTGAAGCACAAAATACTAAACTTGAACAGCAAACTATTAGAAGATGGTGGTTATATGTCAGAAGGTCATATTACGTATTATTAGGATTAGGATCTTGGTTTGAGGCTACACTCCTGAAGAAATCTCTATGGTAGTTGCAGTTTCCACTTCCAAAGAAGGTAGCGGAATTAAGAGAAGTCACATGGGAAAGGCATTTGTTCCTAGAAAAATCTACAGATTCAGCGGTGGGGAGACCCCTGTGTAGAGAAAAGAGGGAAGAAACATGAGAATGAGAGGGAATGTCTACCATTGCTAGATCATCCTTCCCTCATTTCAGCTAATTCACTTTTCTGAAATTGTTATTCAATTATTAGCCATTTTTGAAATGTCTGTTTGTGATCATCTGTGGCAGAAGCCTTATTAGGCTACTGGAAGAAAACCTGTAATCATTACAAATCAACTTCCACTCCTGGTTCTCTGTTCCTTTTGAGCTGCTCTTGGGTGCTTATCTTTTTCTCTTTTATTAAATTATTTATTCATCCTAATTTGTTATATATGATGGCAGGATGCAATTCAATTCAGATTACACATATAGAGCACAATTTTTGAAGTCACTGGTTGTACACAAAGTATTTTCACACCATTTGTGTCTTCATACATGTCCTTAGGGTAATGAGGTCTAACTCATTCCAGTCTTTCCTACCCACATGTCGCCTCCCATCCCCTCCCTCCCCTTTGCCCTATCTAAAGTTCCTCCATTCCTCCCCTGTCCCCCCCCCCCCCCCCCCCCCCCACCCCCCGCCTCAGCATTATGAGTCGGCATCCTCGTATCAAAGAAAACATTTGGCATTTAGTTTTTGGGGATTGGCTTACTTGGGCATCTGGGTTGGTTCCACAATTTAGCTATTGGGAGTTCTTTGTAGTACCTCTGGGAAGTCCTCTCTTGGGCCTGCGGAATAGAATTGCTCCTGGTTAAGCAATCTCTCTTCCTTCCCTGTGTATGGGTATCTCTGCCTTTCATGGTTAGCACCCTGCTTTGCTTGCACCGAGTCACAGGACCTTCCCTTTTTTTTTTTTTTTTTGTCTCTGCAGAACAATCCACCATGACGACCGAATCGGGATCAGACTCTGAATCCAAGGCAGACCAGGAGACTGAGCCCCAGGAGGCAGCGGGTGCACAGGGGCAAGCGGGGGCTCAGCCCGGGCCTCTGGAGCCCCCGAGCGGGAGCGGGAGCGGCAGCGGTGAGGAGCCTCCGGCGCTGGAGCAGTTTGAGGCTGCGGCGGCGCACAGCACCCCGGTGCGGAGGGAGGTGAGCCGCGCCCCCGCCGGCAAAGGCCAGAAAAGCAATTAAGGGCTGTTTGCTGAGCTTCTCCAGGCTCGACTTTCACCTTGGTTTCTTAGCACCAGAGGCAGCTATGAGGGGTCGTCTGCTTTGGCCCCGTGGTTCCAGGCAGATGAAAATGTATGCTATTTTAAGGCTGTCAGTCAATGCCATTCCCCAAGCCTGCTTGGTGACTCCTTCCTTAAATTAAAACACTTAAACTCACACTGAAATCTGGATTTGGAGAAATTATTCTTCAGTTGTTCCTATCTGGATTTATAAGAAGGGTGGACAGAAAACTGGCAGCTTTAATTATGCTGGTGGTGTTTTTTAATTTCAAGTCTAAGGGTTAGGACTGTTTTGGTTTTTTTTTTCCCCTATTTTTAGCTGATGTTCACATAGGTCTCTTTTCCTCCCCTGTATACATCTATATTATCAACTCTGTGCCTACACATGTTTGAGTTGTCATGAATAATGACAACAAGATTTTATTCGAGAGGCTGGGGCTATGACTCAGTGGTAAAGCACATGCTTAGAATGCAAGAGGCCCTGGAAGCCCCGACTTCTATCCCCCCAGCATTACCAAAGACAAATTATGGTTTATATCCAGGCTTCCAATGAATCTGCCTTTCTTTTGTCTTAAAACTTTGGAATTGGAATCAACATGTTGTAGAGTACTAATTTGCATTTAGTACAAAATCTGGAGTCCTTACAAATGATTGGCTTCTTCTAGTTTGAAAGTATTTGTGTTGAGCTAGAAATTTTAGAAAACGATGAGGGAAATCAGTGTTATCAGTGAAAATCTCTGGAAATGACAGCATTACTATTATAATTTTAAGCTCTATGTTTACAACCAGATTATTTTCTTTTCTTGTCCTACCTTTGCAAGTCTTCTTTTAAATAGAATTAATAATAACATGTACTTTCAGTTTATCAGTAGTTGTTCTATTTGGTCCAGGAGGTTTTGTGCTGAGTGCTGGGGATGCCATCCCAGCCCTGCATATAAAATCTAAGGAGCTGCTGTTGTTGGCATCATGGTTTTCTTTATGTTTTCGTTTTCTTTTTTTTTTTTAAATATTTGTTTGGTTTCTTTTAATCTTCAAAAATTTTAAATTATTAGGCTATTTGCCTTTTTTCATTTTTTCCTGTTAGTTCTGAAATGAAACATGAAAATGGGAGATAATTCTAGAAAAGGATGAGTCTCTGTGCCTAGACATGACTTAATACACAGTCATGTGTTCCTCATGGACAGGACACATACTGAGAAATGCGTCATTAGGTCATTTCATCACCATGTCAACATCGTAGAGTGCACTTACACAACCTAGGTGGTAGCGGGCTGTACCATTCAGATTGTGTAAGTGCAGGGTTTTATGTATATATATGTACTGTATGTGTAAATATAGCCATACATATGGCTATATATACATGTACGTGTGTGTGTGTGTATACACACACACACACACACACACACCTGTGTGTGTGGCCTATGGCACCTCGTGCCATCATGAACAGAACTATATGAGATGAAATGAAGCACAAGAGAAAATGATAAAATAAAAAAGCATGGCAAACATGAGCTCAGCGAGACCACTACTGTCCTAACACAGCATTCTGTTTTTATAACAAACTTGATCTTTGTTCTGTTTTATTTGCAATACTGGGGATAGAACTCAGGGGTGCTCTTCTACTGAGCTACTTCCCACCCCTTTTTTATTTTATTTTGAAACAGGGTCTTTCTAAATTGCCACAGCTAGCCTTGAACTTGCAATTCTCCTATCTCAGTCTCCCATATTTCTTGGATTGTAGGTATGTATCACCAAGCTGGGAACAGACTTGTTATTTAGAAGTGGAAGGGGTACAGTCTAAAGTAACCTTAAAACATGCAATACAGGGAACACATAAGCCCATAATATAGTCATTTGTTATCATTGTTGAGTATTATGCATATGCTATACTTTTATATGACTACCAGCGCAGGAAGATTGTTTGCACCAGCACACCACAGATGTGTGAGCAGTGCATTTCACTATGACATTACAATGGCTGTGATGTCACCAGGCAATAGGAATTTTTCAGTTCCATTGTAATCTTAACAGGACCACCATCATGTGCAGTCAGTCCATTGTTGGCCAAAATGTTGTTATGTGGTACGAGACTGTACTTCTACATTCTGTAGTCAGATGCTTGAAGCTAAGAAAGAGAAGTGATATAAAAGAGGGGGAGGGGCAATACCTGGCTGCACAGGGCAGAGACCTTGGTCTTATCTCCTTATTATTACTAGCCTCAAAGGACTCTTCAGGCCCTCAGGCTTCACAATGTTTGTCTACAAAATGAAGCTCTCAGAAATAGTCTTGTCTAAGACTCTTCCATAAAGTTCTTTGCTCCATAATAGAGGAAGCCAGTTATGTCGCAGGTAATTGGAGAAAGGCATATTTTGGTATATAGTGATGATTAAATATGGGTTTGGCAGAATTTGAATTCCAGTTTTCTAATTTTTCTAACCTTGAAAAGGTTCCCTGGTTCTTTCTTTCCTCCTCTGCAAGTGAGGGTGATAATAGCTCCATTTTAGAGCTGCTATTGAGGATTGAATAAAATACAGGATTTACTAAAGTGGTTGATACTGATATTTTTAAATTCCAATGCATTGTGTGACTGCAATTGACATTTCATTTGAGGTACTTGGTCTGCTCTTCTAGAGCTGTTAAAGTTGTTTGTAAAATGTGTTATAAGAGCCTCAGATGTAGATTCATCTTTCAAGTGTTCCCAGAAATGAGACCTGCCCTTTGAGTGATGGTTTAAGATGCTGTGGAGTTGACAATTCAATACCACAGAAACTTTATTCTCAGATACAGACATTGTTATTTTTGTTGAGGAAACATTTGTCATTTCCAATACATAGAAAAAGTTGATTCCAGGTAAAATTAAATAAAAACATAGCTTCAATTGACCTTGCTTGTGATGAGATGAAATGTTAATTAAACATGCAAAAAGCCTTGTATAAATTATAGAGCATCTCACAAAATGAAGTGTGGTTATTGATAAACAATTCTAGGGTTATCAAACTTCTCCTTAAACTACCTCAAAGCCAATATTAATGACAGTTTTATGGATTTCTTATACTTTTTAAATTTTTAATGCAATGATAGGAAAAGGATAATGGTCAAAAAAGTTGGAGCAGATGGCCAGAGAAAGGTTTCTGTAGTTACTAACCTGTTTGAGCTGGAGCTTGCCTTCTCAACAATTTTTTTTTTTTTTTTTTAGGTACCAGGGATTGAACTCAGGGGCACTTGACCACTGAGCCACATCCCCAGCCCTATTTCGTATTTTATTTAGAGAGACAGGGTCTCACTGAGTTGCTTAGCGCCTTGCTTTTGCTGAGGCTGGCTTTGAACTCATGATCCTCCTGTCTCAGCCTTCTCAACTATTCTAACTTGTGGTAATGGTTACTCAATTTGTTTTTCTTGGCTTATTTTTATAAGCTCAACAGACTGTTCTCTTTCTATTCTTAATAACTTCACAAGACTTAGAGTTCCTAGGCATGGTGTTAGAAGAAAGGACTGTATTAGCAGTCTTCTAGATCGAAAACAAGGTAGAAAATGCAGAAATCCATACCTAAAATCCAAAATAAATATACCTAGAATGACATTGTGGTTATAAAATTGTAGAAGCCAATGGAAAAAAAAAAAAAAAAAGCTGAAATGATAAACTGTCCATACTGTCTTTACTCAAGAGCCCATGTACTTTTAGCACCAAGCTAATAGTATACTCCTGTGAGAGAAAATTTCACACTTATTTCAAGGAGCCTGAACAGAATATTAGTGTGTATCTTTGTGAGGACTGCTGGTGCATATTTTTAGGCTGGTGGAAATGATAGTCTGGCTATAGATTGAATTTGTCCTACCACCACTGGTGGTCACTTAACCAAAGAGAGTTGTAAGAGAGCCGTGCACAGAGATGTCAAGGGAATCGACTCAGGGAGAATTTCTGTGCCTCGTGGGGTGTCCACTGCAGAGTCTGGCCTGGACTAGCCTGTTGGTCATTCAGAAGCAGATTAAAGCTTTTGGACAGTTTTGATCTGTTCTCATACAGACTCATTACAATAAAGAGAAGCAGACTTAAGGGATTACTTTGTGATGAATCTCAGTGCTGCTGACTTCATCGAATTGATTTAGAGCTAAATCAAATATTTTAACAGTTATAAAATTACTGAAAAGATTAATACTTGAAGCTCTCTTAAGCCTTGTCGTTTATAAGAGTCCTTGTAAGTCTATGGATGGAACAGAGAAAAAGGTCAAGGAATATGCAAGTATCAAGTGAATTTTGAAAAATGGAGTAGATAAGATAAAATCTAGATGATTAGAGATCTGTCTGATTTGATGCCTTTTTTGAAAAGTCAAGAGTGAATTTCTCCTTTTTTGCTTAGTAAAATCTTGATGGCATTTCTAACTCAGTGCTTCTAAATTAAATCCTGGAGTCAAACTGATATAAGGACTCATCAGTGCATTAAAATGGCAAAAGTTGTTTAGGTGAAACTGAGCATTATAAATACCTGTGTGTGTATATATCACTCCTGATACTTTATTTCAGATCCTTCTCCTCCTCTAGAATAGGGGAAAGCAGCCTCTTTCCCAAAAGAGTTGTGCCATTGCCCGAGCGATGCAATATTTATTTCCTGCCTTGCAATGAAAACTCTTCATTGTTTGCTCTTCACAGGTCACTGACAAGGAACAGGAGTTTGCTGCCGCAGCTGCAAAACAGCTTGAGTATCAGCAATTTGAAGAAGATAAACTTTCTCAGAAGTCATATAGCAGTAAACTCTCTCGGTCTCCATTAAAGATTGTCAAAAAACCTAAAAGCATGCAGTGCAAAGTGATACTTCTAGACGGGTCAGAATATTCCTGTGATGTGGAGGTAAGTACGTATTTTAAAACTCTGGTGTCCTAGATGGCGAAAGCTGGGGAATATTGGTATAAAACACACAAGCCACCTCTTTATTTTTCTAGAACTCTGGAAAATTACAACTGATCTATAAATACAAAATTATTTCTGACTCTAACAGGGAACCAAATTATTCAAAATATGTATGGTGTCCCAAGATCTTAAAATTAAAAGTAAAACATGATCTTATACATATTTTTTTTAAAAAATTAAAAAGATGGATTCTCCCAACACTTGCCAAGATAGGATCCAAAAAAATTAGAAGCTTAAAAATTAGATTTTTAAATTATATCCTGTTATTTAAGTGAAGTTTACCTTTTTATTTGCATAATTCATGGCCAAGTCACTTATTACTTAGCAAAAACTTAAAATTCTGTACATAGCAATAGAGAGAGAATTTAAAATATTCATGTCCTTTTCTTGCTCAGGGAATAGTAATTTTTAATATGCTTATGGTGGGGAACATTGATCTTGGTATAAGAGAGTATACTGCTCTTCATTCTTTTCTGTAAAGAAAAGTAAAATTCCTTTTGGAGAAGGGGCAGTTAAATGACTCAGTTAGAGATATTTTGTTAGACCAAGTTAGCATATGAGAACAACGCAGCCTGTCAGTAGCTATGGAGATGGATGAGTGTTTACTTCTCTGAGTATCACAGTGTGATACTCAGGGCATGAACTCAAGCTATTAGAGTAGGTCCCTGCCTGCACCAACCAGTGGCTTGCTCTTATGTAAGGTGATTCAGTTTCAGGTTCAGTATCTTCATTTAAAGAGCTTATTCTTCCTGCCCCCCCGCCTCTGCCCTTTTCATCCAGGAAGGGGGCATTCTGTGTTCTTCCAAGCCAGTCCCTCCCCTGAAGCTTTCACAGTCTACCCATCTCAGTCCCCACAGGCACTACCCGTGTGTATGGTCACAGGTTTCTATTTCTCTTTCCTCCTCTGATGGCCAGTATCAAACTAATTCTTCATGTTCCCCAGTCATTATCTCTCCTTCCTGCATATTACAACCCCCTTATCATTCTCTCTCTCTCTCTCTCTCTCTCTCTCTCTCTCTATATATATATATATATATATATATATATGGGACCACGGAGCCAGTGCTTTTCTTGCAAGATAAAATTCATTTTATACCAATAGTATCATTTAGGGTAGGGTTGAGGGTGGGTTACTAAATGATTACAGATTGGAGGAACACAGAAAAAAATTAAGAAAAACTGTAGGAACGTAGAAGAAAATTTAAGAAAAATAATTCTCACATCAAAATTATTTCGTCATATACTGGTTTGTAAAAAAAAATTCAATCATTCTTTAGCTTCACAAACATTAGTGGGCTACTTCAGGAGGTTCCAAGGATGCAATAAGGTTCGTCATGCACAGATCCATTGCTTATATTTTGTTGCCTCTGCTTTTGGTTAATTTCTTAGACCAAAGTGTCCAATTTTTGATTCAGATATAATTGTAAAAATGGGGAGATACCAATAATGTACTTGTAGTTGGGTTTTACTGTGAAGGTTAAAGGACTTGGTAACCTTGAGAAAGGTCGTCAAATTTACTTTATATATGCCTTCCAATTCATTATAGCTAATCACTGTGATTTTGGGCACAGGATTTTTCTTTTGTAATTAATTTGGATAGAATTCATTGTTACTTTTAATGTCACTGTGTGAGCATTTTGAGTAGCATAGCAAAGTTGGGTCAATTCTTTCCCTTTATCATAAAATATTTTATGCATTTGACAAATTTTTAAGAGTAACTTTTTCTAGGATGTAAAAATTTGCAAGCAGAATATTTTCTTTTTTTTGTTGTTGTCTGAAAATCTCTTTATTTCTCTATTTCTTCTTATTTTTTATTTGTTTTAATTAGTTATACATGACAGTACAATGATCTTGACATATCATACATTTGAATCAGATGGGATACAATTTCTCATTTTTCTGGGTGTATAGGTTGCATAATTACATTGGTCATGCAGTCACGTATATTCCCACAGCAATAGTAATGTCTATTTTGTTCTGCTGTCCTTCCTATCCCCCCTTCCCCTTCCCTCCCCTCCCATCACTTCTCTCTACCCAATCTATTGTGACCCACAGTTTTTAAAATTTTTTAAAATTAATTAATTAATTTATTTATTTATTTTTCCCTCACATCATCATACCAAGCAGAATATAGAAAAAAAATATGTTTACTACTAACATCATTGTGGTGAAGATGGAGGGACACGAATATGGTAAAGTTCAGTGCATTTATTTGTTGTGGATTAATTGAATAAGAAAAGTGAATTGTGGATCATCAGTGTGTACTTCTCAAGGTGGCAGTGAGATGCTAGTTGAAAAGGCGTACTGAAAACACCTCTTGTTTGACGTAAATTATGGAAAGTAAAGCTTAGATCACCAGCTTAGATACACACAGGACATCATAGGTAAACAGAGAATGAAAAGCATTGTCCCCCGGGGATGTCCTTTGGCCTTTGCTCTTCTCTGAGTGGAGTTTTTCTCAAAGACTTGGAAGAAGGTACAGAAACACAGAACAGAGTTTTTATTTTTGATTTTTTTTTTTAAGTGATGAAGAGCTTGAAGAGGCTAATGAATGCCCCCAAGTGTCAGAATCCAGTTTTCTTGTAAGGCAAAGCTGGATTGGAGGTAAAACTTCATCTATTAGAAGGGATCAAGTGCAAATCCCTTGCTCTTTTGTTTGGTGGAAATGGCCATCAGTTTTAGTAAGAGTTTGGGTAAAAGTCTTCTTTGGGCTTAAGTTGATTAGCAAACTCAATGTGAACTCAACAGTGTGGTGTAGCTGTTAAGACTGCTTCTGTTATCAAAGGCCGCTTCTGTGGAAGTATAATATTTATTTTGTAGAAGGTGGTGAGCTGTTGGTTCCTTCAGCTGGATCATTGCCCTCTCTAGGACTGTGTTTTGTAGACATGTGAGAAATGCTCCAAAGCCTTCAGACGAGGGTGAGCTAACAGCCTTGCCTCTTTTAACTCATGCAATTTTGAGAAACTTTCTAAATTTTTCAAACTTTGATTCCTGCCATGGCTTAAATGTGTCCCCCAGAAGTTCCCCACATTCATATATTGATGGCATTTGGAGTTGACACCTTTGGAAAATAACTGAGATTAGATGAGATCATGGGGTTGGAGGTGGCCCATGATGGCATTATTGGTTGTAGAAGAAGAAAGTGACCCCAGCTAGTACATTTGTTCTGCCTTGCCATATGATGCCCTCTGCCATGTTACAATGGAGTTAGATGGCCCTCACCAGATGCTGGTGCCATGTTTATGGATGTCATCACCTTCAAAACTGTGAGCTCAAAAAACTTAGATTCTTTTGAATTACCCAGTCTCTGCTGTTTTGTTATAGCAACAGAAAATGGACAAAGAGTTCACTCAATAAGCAAAAACACTTGCCTTAAAAATATATTATTGAGAAGATTATTAAAGCAAATAATTTATTTTACACTTTCTGTGTTATAGTATGTTCCTAGTATATAAGAGCTGTTTTATAATGATGATAAGAACCTTGAACTCTGACTGTGGCTTGTTCAGGAGAGAATTTCAGGATTGTGAATGATCTGAAAACATTCTCATGACAAATGAGACATAGGATTTGGAAGGGACAGGGTAGCTATTTTCAGGTACTTGAAAAGATTATCATTGTAGGGTTTTCATAACCTTTTTTTAATGCACACAAAACAAAACTAAGATAGTCATCATAGGATGTCAGATTTTAAGTAAACAAAAATAGATGTTTTAGATTATTGTTGTCAACCTTGTGATGATGCTTATTCTGCCATTAGGAGAATTTCAGGAGAAACTGTAAGTGCGTTTTGGGAAGCCTGCTATTCCTCAGACACTATTTAAGACCAGACCAACTTCCAGTGCCCCTTCCTACTCAGACCCAAGGAGAAAAGAGACAACAAACACTCGAAAAACCTCAAAGGAAGAAGCCGAATTGCTTCCCTAATCCCTGTCCCCATACATGTAATTATAGGTGAATTATGAACAGAATACAGAAGATAGTAGCAGGTAAAACTTTCTTATGCATTTTTTTAAGGCTTCAAAAAAGGCCTTTTATTTTAATGATGCAGTGATGCGTTCTCCGTGGCTTGCTTAATGTCTCCACCACTTCACCATCAGAATGACCAGGCTCAATTCTGCCATGACTTAATGATGAGAATTTATAGTCATCTGTGAAGGGCCCCCTGCACACACATGCACAAACACACAGCCCTTGGAATAGCTTGGTTCTCTTTTCTTTTGAAGCTGTAAAGTGGCATTTTTCCTTGCCAAAGAGTGCTACAGCAGGAGACCCAGTGAACCATTCAACAGCCTGCAAAGACCTAGGTCCTGGAGACCAATGACTGAACACTTACTGCCACTTCATTTTCTGCCCCTCCCCGCAACTGCATTTTGATTTAAACTTTGTAGAATGTGCTGGGTTTTTCTAACTTTCTGCTAGCAATCGGTGTAGTCATTGTAGAATACAGTGTTTTTCCATTTGAGAGACTTTACCTCCATTTTTCTTCAAACTCTTAGTCTTAATGTTCTACATTAGAAGAAAAGATCTTATATAATAAGCCAAAGATCTTATTATAGGCAACTTGATATATATGCTTGGGGAATGTTTAAACTCTACCAGATTCTCACATATGCTAACAAAAGCATTAAGATTGTGATTTCCTGCTTAGTATGTTCAATCTGACTATTAGAGAACCCGAGCAACTTTCTGTAGCCAGTTTATTGTCATTGTTGGTGTTTGCTTTTCAAACATAAATTTTAAGAGAGAAAATAAAAATACCCCAGTCCCAAATATGTGTTTATTACATTTATTTTATTTGATTCCATGTTTGACAGACTTGATGTGTATCTGTTTGATCTGCATACAATAGAGTTCCTAATGATCATCCAGTTAGACATTTGCTTTCTCCTCAGGGACCCTTCTAATCAAGTTTGATTTGGTTTTGGAAAAATCTGTCA